CCTTCCTCCTGGGCAGTCCCGCTTGCCCGACCGGCCTCTGGGCCCGAGTCCGGCCTCCAGAGGGGCTCCCGCCTCCGCCGTCGCCGGGCCCCAGTCCGGCCCCCAGAGGGATCCCGCCTCCGCCGGCCACCGGCTTCCAACTCGACCACCCGAGGGTCTCAGTGTCGTCCGTCACCGGCCTCCCGATGGGTTTCGCCTCCGGGCCGTCCTCCTGAGCGGCCCCGCCTGCCCGACCGGCCTCCGGGCCGTCCTCCGATCTCTCTCTGTCCGGCTCGCTCTCTCTCCGGGCCGTCCTCCGATCTCTCTCTCCGACGCCGCTCCACCACTGCGGCTCCGTCAGCTCACCAGCACCAGCTCCGCTCACCTTTCCCTCCCTGGATTCCTTGGCGTCCGCCCCCGGTCTCCGCCTTTTGGTGTCGTCTTTTAATTGCTCTGCTGTTTAGGTTTCCCGGTTCCCGACTCGGTGGTGCCGAACTTGGGTCCGTGTCTTAGTTCTTTTGTTCAACCAACCACTAATAGGTGTAGTTTGCCCTGCCTGCAAACCTCCTTGAGTTTTGTATTTTTCCTGTCATGTTGCCTCGCGCATGAGTCTTCGAACCGTCCCATAACAAATAAGTGTTAAAGAAGTATATATTATGTATATATACACGAATACATACACATAAATATTCAAATAAATAAAGCAAGTGGATTAAAAGATGAAACAGTTTAATATTGTAAACAGATCTCCAACATTAGACTCTGTTAGTGGGGAAAAAAAGAGGTGTTGGTTCTATAATTTTACAGATGTTTTTGTTAAATTACAGCTCTCTTTTATAACTATTGTTATGTTACAGGTAATGTCATTGTTTTTACACATGTAAATATCCTTCCTTCAATATTAAAAAGCAAAAAAATACACATGATCACTTGTAAAGACAAGGCAAGAAAATGTATTCATGGAATATTACTATTTTTGATGAGATGGTCAGCTTTGGTGATGTGACAGCATTTTTTGGACGTCAAGCTGCTAAAAACTAACTTTACAAACTGTATACCAACGTATTTCTTTTGCTGTTTTCCTGTTTGTTTGAAGAAGGTGACTGCGTCCCAGAGTGGGATGGGATCATCTGCTGGCCGCGGAGCCGAGCAGGTCAGCTGGTGTCAGTGTCGTGTCCAGAGTACATCTACGACTTCAACCACAGAGGTAGGAGACGCTGAGAGACAACAACACAAAGAAATCATCCTGATGTGTGACTGATTTGTAGTTTCTGCAATAGATGACTTAAGGAAACATACATGGGTAACAACCATGTATGTGAGCACCTTGTCAAATGTAAAAAATTTGCTCTTCTACACACAACAAACAGCTGAGCTCAGAGTTCGAGGCTTTTCTGTCTTAAATAAACGTATGTGGTATCACAGACTGTTGTCTTTGGGACAGGACGAGCCTATCGCCAGTGTGATGCATCGGGGAGCTGGGAGCTGGTGCCCAGCATCAACCGCACTTGGGCAAACTACACCGAGTGCACCAGATATCTGACCTCCAACCACAGAAGCCACGAGGAGGTGCGTTTGTCTGGATGTGTGTTCAGTCAGAGAGCGACTGCTGGATGGTTCAACGTGTGCGTTTGTGGTTTACGTTTTCTCAGAAGCTGGTTGAAATGGAAGTGCTAGAACTTTCAAAAATATTTTGCTGCTGAGAAAAAATGTTCCAGATCTGTGACAAGAGTTTCACATCCAGGGCTGCTGATGGCTTCACTGAAGACGTGTTTCAGAATCCTCCAGGCCTGTTTTGTTTGATCAGAAACATTGATTTTAATGCACTTGTGTTTAGCTCTTGCATTCAGTTCCACCTAATCTATGAATCTGCAAACTACATGAGTGGCTCTGCTTTGTTTCAGAAGGTGTTTGAGCGACTCCATCTCATGTACACCGTTGGCTACTCCATCTCTCTCGCGTCACTGCTGGTGGCAGTCTCCATCCTCTGCTATTTCAAGTAAGAAAACTTTAAACCTTCATCCATAACTCAAAACAGTCCACTGAAGTTATTTGTGCCTAAAACTGAGAAGAGATGATTAGTAAAACATTCATAGCTCTCTTGTCTTTCTGCTTCACAATCAGGCGTCTCCACTGCACTCGCAACTACATCCACATTCACCTCTTCACCTCCTTCATATGTCGAGCGGTCAGCATCTTTGTGAAGGACGCTGTGCTCTACTCCATATCTGATGACAGCAGAACTGAGTCTGAGCTCACAGCAGAGAAGCCCCATATGGTGAATAATAAAATATACGTCTTTTCCATATTCATTACCATTTGTCAAAAGTTCCATTCACTTTTTTGTAGTGTTTCATAGCAACAGTATCTGATGTATGACAGTCATAAAATAAGATGTAAAATACGTCTTGTGCAGATGATACATATGTGTAGTATGATGTGGTTTAAAGGAATAGTTCAACACTTTGGGAAATACTGTTCACATTTTTGTTGGGAGTTCAGCATGAAGCTACAGCTAGCAGCACATTAGCTTAGCATAAAAGCTAAACAGGGAAGGATGAAGGCCACAGCACCCACCTAGCACCCACAAATGAACAAGTTCTATCTCATTTCTTTATCCCAGATTGCACCTAACGTGATTACTGTTAAACTTTAGTGACTCTGTAGTAGTATGATTTCTTCTCCCATTTACTGTAGGACCAAGTCAGGCTAGCAGTTTCCAGCCTTTATGCTAAGCTAAGCTAACCATATTTACTGAACAGGCGAGAGATTAGTTTCAATCTTCTCGTCTAAATCTCTGCAAGAACAAGTGAGTGTGTCCCAAAGTGACAAATTACTTCTTCAAGAGTTAGTTGTCATTTTTACACAGAGCCCGCCAGCTCTTCAGTTTTTATTTACTGTCCTCTATCTGCTGTTTTGTGTCGCCAGGCTGGTTGTAAAGTCGCTGTTACTCTCTTCCTCTACTTCCTGGCAACCAATCACTACTGGATCCTGGTGGAGGGTTTGTACCTCCACAGCCTCATCTTCATGGCCTTCCTGTCCGACAAGAACTACCTGTGGGCCCTGACCATCATCGGCTGGGGTAAGCTGCACCGGAGCACACTCTGCTGTGGTCCACTTGGACTTACAGACGACCAGTATCTCCATTTGTCTCTCTGTTCATTCTCAGGAGTTCCAGCTGTGTTTGTGTCCATTTGGGTCAGTGCACGAGCTTCCCTAGCAGACACTCAGTGAGTCCTGCGATCCCTTCATGTTCATATTTACATGACGCTTGTTTACCAGATGCTCACTTGAGCTGTTTCATTCCTGTTTTCAGATGTTGGGACATCAGCGCTGGAAACCTGAAGTGGATCTATCAAGTTCCCATTCTGGCAGCCATTGTTGTAAGAGAAATCAATCAAATTTTAAATGTAATTGAAGTCCAAGCAGTTTCTGGAAATTTGTTTGCTCCTCTAACGCTTTTACTGACTGTCTTTCACTGCAGTCTAAAGTCGTGCACTTCTATTGAAACAGCACAATCATGGCTACAAGTAGAGAGAACTCTGAATATCTTTTGTGCAGTACAACAAAGTTCTAAAGATAACAAGCCTTTCAAAACCCACCAGCAGGTTCTGAGATTTAAAGGACATTTGGTTCTTAGATTTAATGGAAATATTAACTTTATGTTTCTGCCCCTGCAGGTAAATTTCCTCCTTTTTATTAACATAATTCGTGTCTTGGCCTCTAAACTGTGGGAAACCAACACTGGGAAACTGGACCCCCGACAGCAGTACAGGTAGCTGCTCATTTAACCCTCCATCATCGATAAACCACAGAGACTGACTCGCTGTAATTCTACGTAAATGTTAACTGTTTGCTCTGCAGGAAGCTGCTCAAGTCCACATTAGTCCTCATGCCCCTGTTTGGAGTTCACTACATGGTGTTCATGGCTCTTCCCTACACTGAGGTGTCTGGGCTGCTGTGGCAGGTGCAGATGCATTATGAGATGTTCTTCAATTCTTCACAGGTCAGAAATCATTCATGAACACATCATATGACCTGGTATAATTCCTGCAACACATTAAAAAACTCTCATTCCTATCTTCTCCTGCACTGACGTACCCTGATTGTTTAAACAAGATCTCAATTTCATCTTTGCAGGGTTTTTTTGTGGCTTTTATCTACTGCTTCTGCAACGGAGAGGTAACAAAACTCAAATACATTTCTGAAGGATGAACACGTGTTTATGTTAAAGACTAACAAAACTTTCTGTTTTTCCACCTCTTCTTGATCTCAGGTGCAGGCCGAGGTGAAGAAGGCGTGGTTGAGACGCAACCTGGTGCAGGACCTCAAACAGAAAGCCAGGATGACGAGCAGCGGCGGTGGAGGCAGCTGCTACTACGGCGGCATGATGTCCCACACCACCACCCACAGCGTCAGTTTATCTGCTGCCCATCCCAGAGCTCTGTCCTTCACCGGAGCAGTGGTGGGCTCAGGTGGGGCTGCTGCCGGTGGGTCAGGGGTCAGAGCACCGCGCCACGCTTTCCCAACGTCCTCCCCCCACCCTCACAGCAGCCTCCGCGGACTCGCTGCCGGCGATGTCGAGACCTCGGGACCCCAACAGGAACTGGCCCTGTGGAAACCAGGGGGGGCTGAGTCAGGGGTTTTTGCCAGACATGCCAGAGCCAGTAAAGGAAATGATGTCTACAAAAGTCATGGAGCAGAAGATCCAGACAACAGCTTATCTGTGAAAGAGCTGGAGACCATCTTGTGATTGTTGCTGCTGAGGAAGATCTCGTTACACGATCAAAGGCTGCTGGAGAGAGCTTGTGGTGAGACTGTTTTGTTAACATCACTGAAGGTTTATGGGTTTTTCTGTTGATGGGGTCACATTGGAGCCACACAAACAAGCATGATGACACCGAACACCTTTACTTATTATGTTGCACCAAATCAAACTGCATGAGTGTTTGTAGAGCTGTGACGACTAGTTGTCAACTATTAATCTTCAACTGTTTTGTTAATGAACAGGTGGTTTTAGTAAGTAAAGATTCTCTGATTGCAGATTCTTAAATGTGAATATTTTCTAGTTTCTTTCCTCGTCTTTGGCAGTAAACTTAATGTACTTGAGTTGTGGACAAAGAAAGACACTTGAGGACGTCATCTTGTTCTTTAGTAACATTAGTTGACTTTTTTCACCATTTTCTTATGTTTTATAGACCAGAAAACTAATTGATTAATCGAGAAAATAATCAGCAGTTATTAGCAGCAGCCGTGATGCTTTGTCAAACAGAACTTATGGACTTTTATGGTCTCTGCTGTCTTATAATCCCAACTCTCAAGTTATGGAAACAATGTTCATATGAGTTTCTTGTGGATCTAGTTCTAATGAACTTCTGGATTTCATTTTTATGTGCTTTTAACTGATATGAAAAGATGTAAAAGAAATGTAAATAGATAAATGTTAAATATTCTGTAAAGATGTGACGCTGCAGAGAATTTACTGAAGTCAAAGGACAGACCTGGATGTGTAAATAGTGAGAAGTTTTCCTCGTCTTTCCTGTGTTGGATTTTCCAGGCCACACCGGCTGACCTCTCTACTTCAAACAGCACTTCCTACAACGCCCCTTTTTCCAGAGGTCGACCTCCGCATATTAGTTATACATTTACAATGAAGAAAACATAACTTCAGTAGTTACTTTCTCAAACCACCCATCATAATTTGATAACCTTTAGGAGTCAGTAGCGTCTAGACATCGTGTCTAGACAAATCTGTGCGTTAGTTGTTGCCCGTGTCGTCTACACGTTCCTATTTATCACTCTGACAGGACCCTGAGGGCTGATGCACAAACCCTTTGCCCTTTGTAGGCCCAAACCCAGCTCCTTCCTCCGTGTAACCTCTGCCCCCAACGCCTTCACAACACCGTCCAGAATTTCGCACACTCCCCTCAGGCCTCGGCTCGGAGCTGGAGGCACCTGAGCTGTTTGTAGACCTCGAGCGATAGTGACAAACCTGCAGCACAAGCCGCCAGCATTCACAAGATAAACACACAGGAAACTGTACCTGTAGATATTTTTAGGACTGTTTAGGCGTCCAGAACAGAGGACGCCTGGTCTGTGTTTATATTTGTACAGTGTAAAAATTATTGTGATAATTTAATGAATGTTTTGTCCTGAGAATTCAAATAAACTGAACTCTGAACTAAATGGAATTGATTTAGTTATTTTAATATTCAGTGTACTGACAGGAGAATAAATGGATCATTAATGCTGCTGGAAGAACAGGACTGAGTTGCATTATAGAAAAAGCGATTATGGAAGATGTTGCCCTCTATTGAAAAAATCAAAGCACTGCAAGTTTAAATGTTCTCAGCTTGAGAAG